ACTGACGTTTTTTTGTTCGACCGAAAATTATAAATAAATAAGCATGAATCTTTGAGGTGAATCATTTTTGTCACGAATGCTTCATACTATTTAAAAGCGAAATACTCCAACTAATACTAATTGTGTTAGCTTATATTTGTCTTATAATACATTTTGGTGAGATTAGCAAAATCCTAAACGGATTTTTTTCTATGGTCCTCTGTAGCCAAATTATGATCATTTTACTGAATTTTTACTCCAACTTTAGGTATGTACCGAAAAAAAATAAAACTAGAATTTTGTTGTACAATTTTGACCATAGATAACTCTAATAATTCATAAAATATTCAATAAGTTTCAACTGAAATGAATATTCTGTTGATGAGATCTTGATTTTCCAAAAAAAAACATAATCGTTTGCCATAGCTAAGATACAAAAATCGAGTTCATTTGAAAATGCAATATCTCAACAAAGGAACATTCTTTTCGGTTGAAACTTTCAGAATATTCTATAAATCACTAGATCTATCTATGGACAAATTTTTACAACGGAATTTCACATTTTAATTTTTCAGTGCACACCTAAAGCTGGGTCAAGGTATTCAGTAAAACGATAATGGCTCAATTCGAAAAGCACATAGACGCAAATCATTCTCGACTTTTATTAGTCTCAACATGGTATCCTTGTAGGCAGAACATGAACTCAAACAGTAAATATCATTTTGAGGAATTCCTCGTTAGTTACAGCAAATAGTTCTTGAAATACTTTACTAGAAAGATGTAAATGTGGGCTGTGATATTTGAGTATCGGGTATTAGTATCACTTCTGTGTTCTTTTCACCTACATTCACATCCTCTTCTAGAATTACTCAATTGATAAAGTTTCTTTCGACCTTTTTACGTCCTACGAAAAAAAGGACCTCATCAATGCTAAAAACCTTACTATAAACATGAAATATTGATGAGTATTTCAAATTACAATTTATTGATGATTTTTGAAAACCATAGAAACAAACAAATGCATCACATGTTTACTGTTTCTATTGCGATGAAAAGGAAGACCGATGAATAATTATTACGTATATAATAAAGTGTTTTACGTCAGAATTCTTAAATATATTTAGTAGAAGTAGTGTTACATAATTTCAAAGGTCATGAGTAACAATATTACGTAGCTATTACTCATGATTTTAGATAATTCCGACATTTTTTCACAGGTAATAAAAAAGTTCGTTTAAATTTAAAAGTTTTCACTGGAAGACCTCACTATTACGTGAACATTTTGCATCTAGAGTATTGTGAAATTATTTTACTGTAACAAGTAACTGAATATTTGTTATAACTATTATTATATTCCATATTAGGTGAGATCTATTTTATTGAATAATACTATACTATTGTTTGTTTATCATTAAAGACAAATCAAGTTTTTTTTTTGTGACCTCCTTACTGATTATAGTAACAGTAAGACAGATATATAAATGAAATGAAGAAAATTTTTGTAAAAACCAATATATCAGTCGAAATTATTGAAACTAATGTATAAATTATTATTTTATAACAGAATAAAATAAAAATTTTGCTTACAGTAATTGAGACTTTAGATAAATGATATTGGTCCATTCCATAGGAATAAATCAACTTGGTTTGTTTAAAACAAATATCGCTGCTATCAACGTGACAACTATGAATCATATTTGATAGAAGCGAACTTCGAGTTTTTTCCATGAGATGACATTTATCACTTCTTGAATGTAAGTAGTGATTGCGTTGTTCAAATAATTTCTAATCTTTCAAAGTTCATTTTACTCATTTACAGTTAATGTATTCTTTATGCTTTTATTCTTCACACCTATAGATCGCGCCACATATTACTTGTGTTTTGATGATTCTCTTTACACCAATCGTTCTACGTAAAGTGCGTCGAATAACGAATGAAATGTACTGTTTTTTCATCCTTTCTGCCGCCTACGCTTGGAAAATTCCAACCATAATCATTTACTATAAAAAGCATTGGATTTTTCCAACATGAACAACGTATTTTTCACTGATCGAGGGTCTACTAGAACAAGGTAGAATTTTTTAATTTCTATATAAAAGTACATTTATGTTAGATCATTTAATTTAATTTTAATCAAGTTTTTAGGTGTGAAGCAATATAAAATTTGGTTGCATAAAGTAAAAAACAGTTTTACGCAAATTATTTTCTCCTTAGGAGCGAGTTCCTACTATGAGACGAGAGATTATTTAGTATTTCAAACTTTGCACTGAAGAGTTCTAAGTGCTAAGAGAATAAAATTTGAGTTAGGAGTTATTTTGAGAATAGAATCATTTAAAGTATAATTAAAGATGAGTGATTTTTTTTTTTGAATCTTAGAAATGATCGATGCATAAGAGCAGAAAAGTTTTCTCATAACAACATTCTTAGATAGGTCTAGATGAATAACTCAAGTTGAAGGTTTTGTTCAAAATTTTCTCCTTTTCAAAATGCCGTCTAAGGCGTGATGGTGGAACAATTTTCGGCAGAGAAAAATGCTGCGTATTAGTCGTCACTTGCAATGAGCATGAGCAATGCACAAGAGTTTTCTTTTTCGAAGATTGTTTTATCACAATGTTCTAGACGATATTTTAAAGACCAGAACATTCTAAACAAAAACTTTAATTGAAGTTATTCTTCCAGTCCTGTTATGAAAAGTTGTTGTGACAAATTTTCTCATGGTCATGATCTTGTTCGTTATGGATATATAGCCTTACGGATTCAGGACGACAAAAATAAAAGGAGCAATTCTAAGTAAAAGTTAAATATTTTTTAAGCGAAAAATGTTTCAGCATCAGTCATAGGAATGGTCGTTCCCCTTTTTTTTTAATGAGATGCTGGATTTTTTTTAACACTCGAACTTTCATATCGAGTATTATAGTCCAAATGAAATTCAAACGTCATCTAGGTAAACTTGTTTTTTTGCTCCAAGGAATACTTAATGAGGTCGTTTGAATAATAAATATCTTCTCGAATTTTCAAGTAACAAAAATTAATTTATTTATATATTAGATTTTTTTCAGATTTTACTATACAGCTAATATAAAATGTCAACCTCAGTCAGATCGACAACTGATACCTCAAGTGATCAATCTCACAAATTCGATTCCATGAATGCTTCATCGAAATGCCCTGATAACAACAAAGAATATCATTTATCTTCTACTATTATGCACAATAGAATTCAATCAATATTGAGATCAACAAAAAAACTAGGTGTTCACACTCCATGCCATATAATTTCTGCCGGATTTGAATATACAGGTGATGGGGATACAACGCGTTGTAAAGACTGTGGACTTGAGGTATCTAAGTGGACATTAGATATGAATCCATTTGTTATTCATTCAAAACGTCGACCGGATTGCCCATTCGTTTGCAATATTATACCATCTTCATTCAAAAATGTACCTGCTTCTTCCGCTTCACCAGCAACTACTACTGTTCGAAACACGTTGATATTAAATGAACAAGAAAATCCTTCTAAACGCCAAAAGATTGAAACAATGCATTTAGAATCTCTGTCACATACTTTGCTCGAAACAATTTTACTTCAACAAGTACGAAGACGCACTTTTTCTCATTGGCCACATCGTACTATTCCATCAAGTGCACAAATGATTGAAGCTGGATTTTTTAATTGCAATGTTGGTGATCGAGTAATATGCATTTATTGTAATCTTATTTGTCAACAATGGACACCTCATACAGATGATCCATGTGAAGTACATAAAACACTTTCACCTAATTGTATATATGTCAAAGCAAAATTGATGCGTCCTGCTGCTTCATCTATAATTATTGTCAATGAAGGTTCAACAAGTGCAATTTCTGGCAATCATTCACCAACATCTAATAATCTCGGTCCATTAAGATCTAATGATATTGTATTTACAGCTTCATGTAATCCAGCTTATTCAGAAATACCAAAACGTCATGCATCTTTTGCAACATGGCCAAATGAAGATTTACCACCAGTAGATGATTTAGTTCGTGCAGGATTTTTTTATACAGGTACAAAAACTATTGTTACTTGTTTTTATTGCAATGGATCACTACAAAATTGGGGTTCAAATGATAATCCAATGATTGAGCATGCACGTTGGTTTCCACATTGTGCATATGCTCGACAATTATGTGGTGATGATTTATATCGTAAAATTCAAGAATCAAAACGAGCACAACAAGGTATGTTTGAAAAATTATAAATTTGTTAAACAAAAATTCAATATATATATTTTTTCTTCTAGAACGTGCTAGAGCAAATGAATCAAAAGAAAGAACTGGTTCTGGTGAAGCAGTCAATACTAATTCAACACCAAACAATCGATTATTAGTAATACCTGATGAAAGTACTTTATCGAGACTTGTTGCTGCTAGATTAGATTTACCAATATCACAACGTTTATTAGATCAAAATTTTAAATTATCTATTATTAAACGATGTTGGGAAGATCAATTAAGAATAAAACGTAAATTTATAAAATAAAATGTTATTTTTTGAAACTTAATGAATATATATATTTTTTTTTTCAGACGATGATTTTGTATCTGAGTGTGACCTGTACATAGCTTGTTTAATTCTGCAAAAGCAGATTGAACATATTGATGGTAAAAAAGAAAACATTGTCATACCAAGTATAAAAATGAAACAAATCAGAGAACAAAATGGTAAGTTTCATATAACAATATTTCTGATATTTATTTTTTTGTAATTTTTTTAATAGCACGAATACAAGAACAACCAACAGCTACATTTAATACACCTCAATCAGTACCAAATTCTGCAGATGTTGAAATGACTACATCATCTCAATCATTAACAAATGAATCGACATCTTCTCAATCGTCAATTGATTCAACATCAAAATTAACATCCAGTGGTAATGAACGTGAAACAAAAACAACTAAACAAACAAGTGCTGTCAATGATCGAAATCAATCAACTAATGCAGCACCGTCAAATCCATGTGTTCTCTGTCTGACAGAAGAAAAAAGATTAGCCTGCATTCCATGCGGGCACATGGCCACCTGCGTCGCCTGTGGGCATTCATTACGATCGTGCCCAATTTGCCGAAGAGAAATCGAAGCATTTGTTAGGATCTACGTGTGAGGATCATGGGATGTAATTACTAATTGGTTGTTTTTGTAATTATGCGAAAATATCAGATAGAGAGCAGATATAAAAGTCAATTCTTTGATAATAGTATGTGAAAATACAAAGCTATACTTTTGATAAGTTTTTGATTTAATTTTGGAATTGTTATTCAATTTGAACTTTATTACCACTGGTTACTTATATAATAAATCTAGAAAAATGATATTCTACATTTCTGAAATTGGCAATGGCAAATCATTTAAACTGAACTGTGAATCATGCATTTTTTATGTAAATAGGTTTTTTTGTGTCCAAATCTTTTGTATTCTGGCAATAAATATGCACTAAAGAATTTTTTGTTTATTTCTCAAAACCATTAACGAATATCAAATTTATTTTTTATCGATTGAAAATAAGAAGTTGATAGCATGTAATAGAGATTCTAATTGTTTTTGTTGTAGAAATTTATTAATTATAAATGCCTCGATATTTACTTTTTTTTGCTCATGAACTCATCGAATTTCGTCTATCTGTGAGTAGTGATCAATACGACTAAGCATAATATAATTCTTCTTTTTTTCACCTTGAAACATTATAGGAATTATTCAGTTTGGCTGAAATGTTTGGTTTTCGTGAGAGTATGACAATTGAAAGAAAACCGGATCAGGTGTGTCTGTGTGTGTATGCACATGAAATGAGATTCATCATAAAATACTTCAATTCTAGGATCCATTTTTGTTATGCACATTTTCCAATGTTGATCATCTCAAATTATATTCATCTCGATCGGTTTTGTTAAAGTGAGATGTACAAAAAGAAACTAATTACTCTAATTAGAAGAATAAAGATGAAGGCAAAAAGTTTAGCAACGAATTATTTTGGTTTTTTCTTTACCTTAACGGTAACAGCTGAAACAAATTCGAGAAAAGACTTAATTAGCTGAAATAATTCCATATCATGAGGAATACTTATCAAATTTCCATTAGCATGTTTTGATAAGAAATCTCTGAAAAGTCAAGATTCTCAAAATCGATTTTCTGAATACTATGAAAAATGTTTTGCAAACAAATTCATCTAATAATAGAGATAACTTTTCTGAACAAAATAATATGTTTTCGATCTATCTTCAGCAAACCATAATAATTGCACGATAGGCCTAGAATATTATTTTTGTGTTTTTTATGAATAGTTTTATGAGTTAACTGTTTTTTACATTTTGAATCCTTCCGTAAAATAAGCGCAGTCCACTGATGATAGGTAATGAAAAGCTCTGGGTAGAGATGTGTGGAACCAAGTATTTTTTAGACCCGATACTCCGTAAATTTTATCTATTTTATGTTCAATATGTTTATAATATAGATAAGATATTAAGGACAGAGTGTCTGTATCAATAGATAACATAATATAGTTAGAAAAATATATGGGCTACTAAATAAAGATGAAAAAGACAATAAAGGAAGAAAACAAGAGAACCAACTAGGAAAAATTCCTGACAGAACAAAAAGAAAAAGACATAGTTAACAACGTATGTATATGTACAGTAAGAAAGCGAGCGAACATATGTGGAGAATACCTTTAACACATTTGTCTTAAGGTACATCTTACGTAGGTGCCATAACAATTCATCGGTCCCATATAATCTAGAGTAGCTCTGGTCTCGAGCCAATCTCCACAATTTCTTTTCTAGTGTTCCGGTCTCGATCAAGAGAAACTGATTCTGGGACTGATTCGTATCATATTTAAAGCTTTTGATTTGTTTAGTCCATGACTAACACGTTTTTAGACAACCTCTATTGAATTATGTTTTGATTTATATGATTTATAAGACAGTTTCTTTAAATCAATAGAATATTCTATTATCAGCTTAAGTTCGATTCTGAAAGATTTTTTTCTTGTAGTCTCAGTCTTGATCTTAGCAACTTCTCTTTCTTGTGATCTCGTACATCTCTAGCTCGGAGATATCTTAGTTTGTTCAGAAATGCTTGTTAAGGGCGAGATAGCAACGTGATGGCATAACAACAGAACGGAACAAAAGATTCTTCCTTCGCATGGAATTGAACCATGCATCTCATGCTTATCGGGCAGTCGTATTAGTCACTGTACTAGAAAGGAGTGTTTATGATCCCTTTCTTTCCGTCTTATAACCGAAGGAGAACACTTCGGCTATAACAATGCTTTCCTATATTACATGAATTTGTTTGCAAAACGTTTTTGATAAAATCCAGAAAACTGATTTACAGAGTCTTGATTTTTCCAAAACGTTTCATTCGAACTTTTTAATGTGAATTTGACAAGTACGCCTTCTGATAGGAGATTGTTTCTGTTAATCAAATCTTTTCTTCTATTAAGTAAAAAAGTCAAAAATACTGTGTTTCTAAAGTGATTGCCTCCACCTTGGACTAAGATGACTTCAGCTTGTCAGCTAATATTTAGTAAAATAAAAGCACGACACTATTTTTAATGTGTATGAAATTTAACAAGATATATTTTACAACACTGATCGAATTTAGTTCATTTTTCATAAATAATGCGTATTATATAGATCTGCTTATGAATATTGGATACATGGACCATCATTGACAGATGTTGTGGATAAATTAACCGTACATTCTGATTGGGTAATAAATGAAATGTAAGTTTTTCTATTTAAAATAGTTTTTGTATTACTAGCGTCCTACATTGAATGAAACATGGCGAATACTTGTTCATGCTTTTCGAAAACAATTTACACAACCAGAAAAAATTCAACGAATTGATGTAAGCTAATAGAAATTTATCTAGTTATTTCTTCTGGCTTCTATTATAGGCATTCAGTGATCGATTAAATATACGAAATAAATTTTGTTTGAATAACAAAGCTGACTGTACGGTGGGTCTTTTTGAAAATTATGAACTAGGACGACTTGAACAACCAAAAGAAGTATTTGTTGGTAGATGGGTAAGTCTTCCTGACTTTTTTTTTCTTTGAATAGAAATATTTCATATGTATTCAAGATTTGTGATGGAGCACGTCATTTAGTGGAGAAATATGATGTTCGAAAACGTTATTTTATTGGTAAGTTATAATGAACCAAATTTAGATGTTCAAAATAGAAAGTTCGATAATAGTATTGTTGAGTTTTATAAGAGATCTATCGTATAAATATGATTTTACGCTAATTCCATACAATAGTATCCTCCTTACGATGAATCTAAGTATATAAATGTATGAAGCGAATGAGATTAATTTTTTAGCTACCGTATTTCAGTTTTTGCTTCAGACTTAAAATAGAAATTCATACTAAATCTGTGACGACTACTCTGTTACGAGTGAAGTTCTTCAACTAATAAATCACCTGTAAGTCGGGACTATGTGCATTATGCAAATTTAAATGAGCTATAAACATCAGGACAAGACTTCGTACCCTTAGCTTATTACTGCGAACATGGTACAACTCTGCAGTATTCTTTAAATGAAAGCTGTAGTCTAGAAAAACTGATGTTCGAATTTCGATTTGGAACTTCGCATGAAGACATATTTTAATGAGAGTAATGCCAGATGTTTTGATTTGTTTCTATCCTGAAATATGAACATAAAATCTGTCGATTTATATGAACGATATAAAAGGCATGCTAATACGATAGTTATATTGTAGGATAGTAACAGCGACAAGATCTGAAACATTCACGTTAAGATTTGACTCTATGTACAGTTTCACGTCGAAATTCGAATATTAGTTTTTCCGGCCTATTATATTCATTTACAAAATACCGTAAAAATGCAGTATCTCCATAGCAATAGGCTTGGAATCTGAACTCTTTTCAAGGTATTTATATCTCATTTGGTTCTACAGAATGCACATTGTTATGATTGGAAAGAGATTTAGCAATCGGAACACTTTCCTTGTCAGTAGACGTATTCGTAAAGATTTTCATCAATACTTTGCGATACTCTTTTAGTGACCTTTCAGTATGACTAGGCGATACGAATCAATCATTCATACATAAACTCTACTGCTTCTAAGTGCTGTAAATAAAGTACCCATAAATTAGAGAGAAATATAAAATGGTCTATCGACCATTCAAAAAACATCACACACACTCTAAGACAACCAAGGTTTTGAATAATAACTATTCAAGCATCGATAAGTAATCTTATGCACTCTTATTTTCAATAAAAACTGGAATATTTTTGCATAATCCTACATCTAAACTATCTTTTTAGGTAACACAACAATGGATGCTACACTTTCGTTTGTTATGGCAAATATGGCTCAATGTCAATCGAATCATATTGCAATGGATCCATTCTGTGGCACAGGTTCATTTTATATTTTTGTTTGTTTTTCAAATAAATATGATATTTAATCTAGGTGGAATTCTTCTCGCTTGCGCCGAATTTGGTAGTTATGTTATTGGTAGTGAGTTTGATTGGCGTGTTTTAACAGCAAAAGGTAATTTATTCGAATTGATTTATTCATTTCTTTTTTGCTTTTTATGCTATTCAGCAAAACCAACAAAAGCTAATACGAAACAACTTACTCGTAATCCTGATGAAATGATGCATCGAAATTTTTCTGATTATGGTACATTAAATCGTTTTTTGGGTGTAGTTGGATCTGATTTTGCATATCCACCGTGGCGTCCAACATTTTTCTTTGATTCTATTGTTTGTGATCCACCTTATGGTATTCGTGAATCATCTCAACATAAAAGTCGTCGTCTGAATGATAAAACAGATGATGATAAAAATCCTGTGTCAGAAAAATATGATTTAACAAATATTTATGTTGATCTATTAAATTTTGCTAATGTTTATTTACGTATTGGTGGTCGTTTGGTTTTCTGGTTACCGACACATATAGTAACATATGATGAAAATTTATTACCAACACATGCATGTTTTAAATTATTTTCTAATGATGAACAACAACTTAATCGAACTGTTAGTCGAAGATTATTAACATTAGTTAAAATACGTGAAAGTAACAATAATGAAAAAGCTCAAGTGAATGAAAAATTATTCAGTAATTTTCGTGATCTTTATTTTACACCGAACACAAAAATATGGGAACAATTAAATAGTAATAATACTATAAGTGATTCTTCAGATGTGTCGAAAGAAAAAGATCATGATAAATGATTTTTAAGATAATAAAATTATCGATATTGTTGTGTTGAAATAATGTTTTTTCCTATATTTTCTATAGATTTAAAACATTTTGGTTGATAGAGATATCCAACAGATAGCTGTACATCATATTATTTATCTGAGCCTTTATAGAAATAATATAAATTTCTAAAATCTGTTTTTGAAAAGAATTAAAAAATTATTTTATTGTGAACGTTTACAAGTCGGTAAAATTCGAGTGATATATATCATTTACTTAATAATTTACAATGAATTCAGATCATAATCATCTCTTATCACTAACTACATTCCATATGAATATATAATGTGTTCCACTGTTTTTTGAATAAATTTTGATAGAAATATTATAAAGACCTGTGATTCTCATCGTTCAAGCCCCCCCCCCCCCCTCAGAAAAATTCAATATTCGTCAAAAATTCCGAAATTGAGATAAATACATGGGTAGATAGCCCGTCATCTGCTCTTTCATCAACGATAATTTGTTTTTCTCGTTACTTCATTTTTCCCAAAAAATTGTCAAGATTTTCGTCAACCCCTATTCGAAAAATCAGCTGTTTTTTGAAAAATCCAAAAATGTTTTTCGTTTTGTCTCAGTTTTTGTTTTCTCAAAAGTGCATCCCAAATTTCTCCTTCCTGGTTCATTCAATGCATTAATATTTTTTTTTGTTTGAAAGACCGTCTCAAGGCGCAGGGCATGATGAGGTTCTTTTTCTAATTAAGCCTTTGTTTAGTCAATATACAGCCAGTTATATGATTTGGTTACCATTTTTTGACACTTTTTTTCAGTCATTGAAGTTGTGATCCCTTTTTTTGCGCTTAAAATTGGACTATTTCAAAAAAAAGGGTTCCATCATGCCCTACAGCTTGACATGCTCTTTCCAACAAAAAGAAAATATTAATATATTGAACGAACCAGAACCGAAAACGTTGGGATGTCAAATGAGTCATTTTTGACCATTGTTTGATTCATATCTCCCCGAAACCTGAAGATTCCGGGCTGAAAATTTTACGGTAGTCTTCTGTTTCCAGACCCAACATATCCTGAAAGTTTCATCTAATTTGGATGTTCCTGGACTGAGATCGATTTTTGAGGGGGGGGGGGGGCTCAAGCAAGAAGACGCGAG